GAGGGCATTCGAATATTACTTAAATGCATTTACATTTTTGGTAGCAGCTATGAGCCAAGTAATTTTTGAACTTGCTAGCCGCTTTTGGCTGATAGCTCGGACACTAACCTTTAACGAAAGGATAAATGCCGTGTCGATTGGTGTAGTAATGCAGTAACACAGAGCCATCGTCAGATTTTTCGCAACGAAATGATGGCCCAGCAAAATTGCTTTTGTACAGTGCAAAACTTATGAAATTATGCAGCGAATCCAGCCCATCAAAAAAACCCTGCAAAATTTTGTAGCCTTAAGTGTGACAGCCTATTATCGTGATTATCGTCTATTATCATGATTTACCACAGTAGAACCACGTGTGAACCTTACAAACTTCAACTCTTTTGTATACTACAGAAATTTCAGCTATATGCCACAGAAATGTTACAAATACAATGTACGAAAAAGTCAGTACCGTCGGATTTATGATACTTAGGTTTATGGCTATTGCAAAGCGCATGTGCCCTTTTACAAATGATGCTATTTATATATCTTAAAAAAATGGTGTTAAGTAACCTATAATTGATCTATAGAAATAACTCCTCCAAAAAAAACATATGAAAGAATTTTGCAAGGTAACCTCGCAGGAAGGAATAATGGCAAATGTACAACTCTACTTGCATTCCGAATTTCCTATACACCTGGACATTAATTTTTAAGAAAGGATTCATAACTTCACGTACCACAATATCTGGGCTCATCGAGCGTAGCAAGTCTTCCCATCCTTGTGTGCAAACAAATTCTACGAAAAATGCACCAAATTGTTCCCAGAGGTCGTCGGAAGCCATGCCTGCAAAATAGTCGTACGTGGATTGCTTGTAAAATGACTGACTGGCTCAAATTCCAAAAAAAAAAAAACCTTAAGAAAAGTGGATTACCGGTAAGAGCAACGGCAGCAGCAATGAGTGCGAAAGTGTCATCGTCGCGGTACTGATGATTCTCGATAGCTTCACTTCCTTTTTGGAAACTGGCTCTTTCACTGGAAAAAGCGAAAGCAGCATTATCGGAAAGAACAGCAAAAGCCTTGATCCATATAGCAAATACACTGGGACTGGAACACACACTACAGTATGAGCAAAATTTCGTCTGTGAAAATTTTTTTTTGAGACGGTAAAATGATCTTTTCTAGACACATTAGCAGATGTTTCATTTAATTATTAGGTAAAACCTCCAAGCAATACTGATAAGCAAATTTTCAAGCAAAGTTCTTTTTGGCTGCAAAGTTTATGCTAATTAAGCGCAAAGCGACAGTCTTGCGTGCTTGCAGTAAACACAAAGGCTGGAACGCACCAGGCGAGCCGGTGCGATCATGCGTTTTTGCATCAAAACTAAA